TCCCCTCCCGGCCCTCACCCTCTCTCTGTCTGCCGGTGGAGACAAAGTGGCCATTTCTCAAACCCAGCCATTAATGTGCTTTGATTGAAATTCAGCATCTTGTTTTTAATCTCCAAAGTGATGTGGCAGCGATGCGTCATTATCGAGAATCTACTGCGGTGTCCTCCCATTTCTCACCCCCCAGGACGCCCAGGCCACCGCTCACCTCCCAGACTTAATGTGCCAGAGAAGCAAGACAAACTGTGATTAACGCTAAGTCACTCTGCCTGCTGTCCTGCTCTGAAAAAAAAAAGGCCCAAAGTCACTGCTGTCACTGTTAGCTGCTCACAAAGGGTGAGGAAAAAAAAAAATCCCATGGAGACAACTTTGGTCGTCAAGTGTGTCGTTGCAGTGATGGGTGTGTGTGTGAAGACGTGTGTGTCCATACCATAACCACCTTCATGTCTGTACTTTCTGTTCTCCACTCTCCATTGTTTTACTCACTCACTCTTCAACGACAGCCAAACTCCCAACAAGGTGCAAAGAACAGAGAGGGAAAAAAATAAAAATCTGCCTGCCTTTGTGACAGGAGTCTACGTCGAGTCCAGCGGCCGCCCACGTCCAGGTTCTGTGTTTGTTACGTTGTCTTGTAGTTGTTGTACATTTTGAAATTCTGAGGACCAACGACAGTTCTGCCTGTAACGTAGCGCCACCGTGTGAGGAAGTAGCTGAGCGGGAAAAAAACAACAGTGTGATGTTTCCATACGCTAGACCAGAGGTCCCCAACCCCCGGGTCACGGACCAGCACTGGGTCATTTTGTACCAGGTTGCAGGGGAACAAAAACAAAAACCCTGTAATATTTTTATGTTATTGATTATCACAATGGGATTTTTTTTTTTTGAAAAAAATAATCCAACTTCTTCATCTTTGATTTTGTCAAAATAAAAGTCTAAAAAAGAGAGCTTCTTTAAGAAAGCAGTTTTTCAAAATAAAAGAAGGCCTCAATTCATTTACAGTCCTGCTTAAAGTAGGTTAATGGTGAATTTTATTTTTATGCACTTTATATTTGCTTTTATATTAGTTTTTTTTATTATGTCCTGTTTTTTTTTTTTTTTTGCTGGTCCTTGAACATATTGTCTTTGAGGAAACAGGTCTGTCTGGACTGGTCATAGTTGGGGACTCTGCTCTAGTATAGCCCCTCCCCCCTCCACCACACACACCCTCATACACCTCACACCTCCACCTACACCTGCTGAGGTCCTCTGTGTCTGACGGAGTTTGTCTCCGAGGCTGGAGTCTCACTGGCATTGACAGAGACAGACAGAGGCTCCATCGTCCACAGTTCCCTTGAGCAGATTCTTATTAGAGCAAATGCAGCTGACTATGAGTGAGGTGGGGGAGCGGGCAGCAGGTGACGGGTGGAGGTGGTAGGGGTGGTTGTGCTCCAGCCAAAGGTCAAGTATGGCACAGACTATCAGATTCATTATTGAGGTCAAACTTTTTTTTGCCACATTGTTGCTAGTTGTTTTACGTGGAAAATATTCTGATCAGATGTTGTTTTTTCAAAGCAGCAGATATTTACATTACAAGGCCCTGCAACTGGAGAGAGAGAGAGAGAGAGAGAGCTATATATGATGATGTCTAATTTTCATATGATTATTTAAAAAAAGGAGAGTTGGTCTGTCGTCCCTCCCACATGTGGTTGTTGTTTCTTCTATCTCCGTCCTCTTTTCTTCATCTCTTTTTTAAGATGTGGCTCTACCGTCTGCCCCTTTACTGACATTTATTTTGTACAAATCTATATATAAAGAATAATGTATAATAGTTTTTAAAATCTCAAAAGAGTATCTGTTTTGTTGTCCGTTTCCTTTTTCAGAGAATGTATCTCATCATCTGGTGACTGTTAAATAAATGAAATCAAAATCAACGTCCGACTCTGTCGTTATATTTGTGTGAGCGCCGCCGTGAATAAACATGTCCTCTTCTTCTTCTCCTTCTTCTCTTTTAGATTTCTTAATGAAAACACAACAACGTGACCTTTTCTAAAGTGGATTTGTCTGCGCTCACTTGTGCTTGTCAGCTGCAGCTCTTCTCATGTCGCTCAACTACAATAGCTGATGAGGCGGATGAATGAATGTGTGTGTTACGTGTTAATTAATTTCTTCATTGTGTCGTTTTTTTTTTGTTTTTTTTCAATACTCTTTTCACACATTGAAACAACCCCCGCAGTTGTGTGACACCAAGTTACAGCGTGGGAGGCAGGAAGGTGTAGGCAGCATGATTTTTTTTTTCAAATAAAAAGGGTTAGAAGTGGACCTGGGCATATGTTCCAGAAGAATCACTTATGAGACAAACTAATGAAAAAGAAAATAATGAAATGACAGAGAGAGACAATAAAACAAAATAAAATAATTTTTATTTTCAGTAAATAATTTATAATTACATAGTAAGTATCTACATTTGACACAGTCATCAAAGTTTTCCATTTAAATAATTCTTGTTGACAAAATGAACAAAACTTCAGGTGAACGTTTATTTTTTTAACAATATTTCATTGTACATTTTTCATCTTTCTACTACATTCACAGATATAAACTCACAGGAGGATTATTTTGAAGGTATTTTTCATAATTTGAAGACGTTTTTGATACTGAACCCTGTCACCTGGTCTGTTGTCAATACTAGGATTTTGGTGCTAATGTTAGCTTTACGTTTGTCTGTATGTACCAGGACTGTTATAGCTAACGTTAGCTCTGGAGTCTGTACCAGGACTGTTATAGCTAACGTTAGCTCTGGAGTCTGTACCAGGACTGTTATAGCTAACGTTAGCTCTGGCGGCTGTACCAGGATTTGTTGTAGCTAACGTTAGCTCTGGAGTCTGTACCAGGACTGTTGTAGCTAACGTTGGCTCTGGTGTTTTACCGTTGATGTGATAATGTAGCCCTGCAGTGATAAGAAAACTCATTGTTGAACTATTCACACACAACAATACTGTTAGCGTCAGGAAGTTGGATGTTTGTTCTGGCTCTTTACATTTGCTTCAAACACTTCGAAAAGAGGCTGCATAAAATGGGGGAGGCAGTAAATGTACACACCTGCCTACAACTTTTTCACAGTACTCCATACATTGGTGTAGTCGTGTGACTACATGTCAGTTA